CCTATAGGCATGCCTCGCGCGCGAGCTCGGGCCCGCACCCACCCCCCGGCTGCGCCCATCCGCACCCCAATCTCACCTCGATCCTGCACCGCTTTGTCTGTCTACTATTACGGTCGTCGTCAAAGCACTGTACCGGTCCTGCTTTGTCTGGACCCGAACGCCCCCTCGGCGCGCTTATTAAAGGGCTTCACCCTTCAGGAGGACCACGCAACCTTCCTCCACCGCACTGCGTGTCCTCTCTTTCCACCGCACCTTGACTCGCCTCGACGGCTGACGTCCACTCCTTCTCACTCCTTCTCACTCTCTGTCAACCATGATTGCTCGCGTACCTCTCTTGTTCTACCTCCTCGCATCCTTGGCGTCTGCAGAGGGCAGCGCACTCCTGCTCAGGTCCGAGGCTGCTGTGCGTTCCGCCGGCCGGGCGCATCGCCGGGGCGCGAGCTTCGTCCGCGATCTTCGCCTCGCATACTCGGGCATGCGTACGCGCCGCTCCGACCCCGGCTCCGGCTCCCAGACGCCGTTCTGCGTCAACGTAGGATCCAATAGCTCGTCGCTCGCTACCGGAAGCGACTGGAAGGGAGGAGACGGAGCAGGGTCGGCTGTCTCGGAGGCGGCGTCTGGAACTGTTAGGCCGTCGGCGACGTCGTCCGGAGCTCCCGCAGCGAGCAGTAGTGCCGCTGCTGCATCCTCGCCGTGGAAGCTCAAGCAAAGCTACGTGAGTCTGAGCTTACTCGGATGTCCCACATGGGGAGTTGACGCGGCTATTGTATGCAGGAAGGAAACTCGTTCTTCGCTGGCTGGGCTTTCTTCACGGAACCTGACCCAACCGGTGGCACTGTGACCTATATTGATGGCGGCGCTGCTGTGAGTTCTACCCTCTCTTCATACTGTCCTTACAAACTCACCTTTGGCCTGCAGCAAACCGCGAACCTGACAGGGATCAACGGCGCCGGAAACGCGTACATGGCGGTCGACACGACGCCCGTCGTCTCCGGCGCGCGCAAGAGCGTGCGCATCACGACCGATTTCTCGTACACGCAGGGCATCGTCGTGCTCGACGCGGTGCACATGCCGACCGGGTGCGGGACGTGGCCCGCGTTCTGGTCGAACGGGCCGAACTGGCCGAGCGGCGGCGAGATCGACATCGTCGAGGGCGTAAACACCTACACGAACGACCAGGTCACGCTGCACACGAACCCCGGCTGCGCGCTGCCCTCGATGAACGCGGATGCCCTTGGCATTTCGGGGACGCTGGTGAGCACGCAGGACTGCGCGGCTGCGGATACGCAGAATGCGGGGTGCGGGGTGCGGTCTGTGGAGACGAACTCGTTTGGGGCGGGGTTCAACGCCATGGGGGGTGGTGTCTATGCGAGTGAGTTTTGATCGTCGTCAGCTGTGCGCGACGTGCTGACCTCGTGCAGTGAAATGGGACGACAGTGGCATCACTGTCCACTTCTTTGCTCGCAACTCTATTCCAGGTGACATCACCGCCGGGGCGCCAAACCCGAACGCATGGGGCACACCCATTGCGAGCTTCCCGTCGACCTCGTGCAACACAACGGAGTTCTTCCACGACCACTCCATCATCTTCGACACGACCCTCTGGTGCGTCGCTGCGTCTTCGTAGCGCTGAAACCGTGTCTAATAGTTGACTTACGATAGCGGTGACTGGGCTGGGACCGGCTGGGGCGCTACTGGTGTCCCGGGCCAGGAGACTAGCTGCGCGGCGATGACGAACACGGCGACGTGTGCGGACTACGTGTTGAACAACGGAGGTGCTTTCAATGAAGCTTGTGAGTGCTGTCCGTTTCGATCAATCCAATGGGATACTGATGATTTGCGTCGAAGACTGGGAGGTGAAGAGCGTGAAGATATACCAGACGAACTGAAGCTAGTGTATCTGCTTGTATTTTTGTACCATGCCGTCTCCCATCCTCTTGCCAGGCCGTTACTTCTTGCAGTTGTATCGTATGACACAGTAGATCCGTGTATCGCTAGTGATTCCAGGGTTATATGTTGACTATGAGAGCTGGAGTATACTGAGGGAAGAGCATGAGCGTGGACGCGATGAAGATCTACCGGCGGGCGTCTGTGGGGGATCGCGACGCGTGCACGTGAGGGGGACGCGTCGATGTGGTTGAAGTTGATCAGCCTCCGCTGCGAGGGCGATCTGCTTCCGCGCACGTCCCAGCACCCACACGCGATACATACTACCACCTCTTCCGCGCCACCCACACAGCACCACGCTCCTCTTCCATTGTCCATCCTGCCCCGCCCCATTGTCCGCCCGATACGTCCGCCATTGTCCCAGCGCGCACGCGGCCCAAGTCCAACAATGGCTGAGTTTCAAAATAGCCGACCGTGGCACAAAGTCGCGCTCCGCGTCGGGTTCGACGTCTCGCTTCTCCACTCCGGGGTCGGGAGCATGCGCGCGATGCGGATTCACGTTTCGGACGACGAGGTCGTGCCTGACAGTGAGGAGGAGCGGCTCCAGTGAGTCTGTGCGCTGCTCCACACTAAGCTGCTTGCATTTACGTTCGGACTTAGGCGGAGGAAGGCCAACAAGCGCGGCGAGCTTGCTGATGGGGCAAATCCGGATGTGATTGTGCTGTCTTCTGATGAGGACGAGGACGAGTGCATGTGGGTCCCTGTGTCCCTCCCTCATACCGCTTGCCTGGACTGCGTCTCACGCATTTCGTATTTGCAGTCCTGTCCGTCGCCCTGTACGCGCTCGACGCGTCGTAGAGAGTTCTGACTCTGAGGACCCTGAGGACAAGCGCGTTGAGCGCGCGAAGACCTCTGCCCAGGTGCTCCAGCCACGACCGAGCGTCACGACAAGGCCTGCGGAAGCAGTCATCGACTTGACTGTCAGTTCCGACGAGAGCGACAGCGTCAGTGCCATACCCAAGAACACAAGGAGAGTGCCCGCGAAGCCAGCTCACAAGCCGGCAGCGCGGGCGACCACGTCTCAAGATACGAGCTCTTCGCCTGGTGACGAGAACAAGTTTACTATTCCCTTATTTGCTGACGACCCAGATGATGATGATGATGACGACGACCCCATGAACATGGACGATGGCTCTATCTTGGTACTGTGCGTCGCGCCTTCTATGCTTCTCAAGCACTGCCACTGTCGCTGAATACTGCACACGCTCAGAAATGAGCCACGAAGCGCACGCAAGCCACTCCGCACAACCAACCTCTCCTACCCTGCTCGCGCCGTCCCCTCTGCCTCTCTACCGACCACCCCCGTCCGCCGAATCGTCTCCGTCCACTCGACCGACTCGGAGCCCGAGTCAGACACGGACGGTGAGTCCCAGGCGAGCGCACCGGTGCGCAACGCCAAACCCGCTTCGCAACCCAAGAAAGCCGGGTCAGCAGCGAAGGCACCGCGGCTGACGAAGAAGGCGCTAGAAGCGGCGGAGCAGCAGCGTAGGGAGCGGTACGCGCAGACGTTCTTTGACGAGATCAATAGGACGGTGTTCGACGGCGGCTTGCCGGGGGACACGAAGCTAGAGTGGAACAAGCGACTCCTGTCGACGGCCGGGAGGGCGAAGTGGCAGAGGTCGGTGTCTCTGTCGGCGGAAGCACGAAGAGTAGGGGCTGATGGGACGTGGTTGTGGTGCGTGTCGTGCAGGGACCGAGAGGGCGTGCAGACGACCATGATCGAGTTGGCCATCAAGATCCTCACATCCGAAGGTCAGTCAGTATCGGTGTATGGTGATGATTGCTCGCGCAAACAACAGCTCTACGTAGAACGCATTCGGAACACGCTCTCGCACGAGATGTGCCATCTTGCCTGCTGGATCATCAGCGAGAAACCTACCGAGAGTCATGGCAGTATCTTCAAAACATGGTGAGCCGGACACGCTCACAAGGCATTGGAGAACAGTCGTGTCTCACTTTTTTGCAGGGCGAGGAAAGTCATGGAAGGGCGTCCAGACGTCGAAGTCACGGTTTGCAGCACTCCTTCACATCGCGGATGTAGCCTATCTCATGGTTGCTCCTTGCAGACCAAGCACAGCTATGAGATCGACTACAAGTACCAATGGAGTAAGCAAGCCTTTCTGTCTCACAACATGACTAGCGACTCACGACTGACCGCAGAGTGCGAAAAATGTGACAAGATGTGAGTACGCGTCGCCCGCGTGTTCTGTGGCTAATTGTGCGATGCATCTGTCAGCTATGGGCGCTTCAGCAAGTCAATCAAGCCCGAGGCATGCGGTACGTCTGGTGTTACGAGTTCTAGAGGAAACTGGTCTCATCGTTGCGCACCACACGCCACAGTGTGCAGTGCGTGCAAAGAGGGGAGGCTCATTCCGCTCTTCCCCACTACGCCGCGCGCGCCGAAGACGCCGAAAAGCAAGGCGGCAAGCGCCCTGGCCTCTGCGAAGGGCCGCGGTAAGCCTGCTATTGTATCACCCTAGGATGCTGGCTAAACCTGCGCGTGTCAGACTCGCCGCTCGCAGTCGCGTCCCCGGTCCTGGTGTCAGAAGGAGAAGTCTTCGCCCGAACCGACATACGTGTCCCTCATGCAACGCCGACGCGCGCATGGAAGGCGAAGAGGCCGACCCAAAAGGTGCCAGGGGCGTTCCTGCTTGCGGACGACAGAGACGAGGACGAGGATGATGGTGTGGATGAGGGGGTGCGGGTGCTCACGCGGGTGCTGGAGGGTGTGAGGCTGTAGGAGGCGGGTTTACGCATTGATGGACTTGGATGGGCGATACGTGTCTTCTTGCTGGATTTTAACACCTGGTCTACAATTGCTTGTGATAGCTAGTAATGTACTACGTGCGGGCCTCGTAACACAACATACATTTATATTCTGAAGTGAGGTTGTGGAATGTGCTGGCCGTATGTTAAATGCCCAATGCTTTGGGCGAAATGTTGCACAGTGACCTCTTGAAAAGCTGTCAAAAGAAATAGTTGGTCCGTAAGACTTCTTACTGAAGCAGCCCCAATCATGGCGAGCAAGGATCCTTGTCGGAAAAAGACACAGTAGCCCACCGCGAGGGTCGAACTCGCAGCCTTCAGATTGCGCAAGTACGCATATTGCCACGCCTTCGTAAGAGTCTGACGCTCTATCCGATTGAGCTAGGCGGGCAACGAAAGGGCCTAGTGTTTTACCGTTATGACTCGCCACGCAGTCAGGGACAGGCGCCCGGCGTTGAGTATCACTCCAGCCACACAGCTCGGCCGTGGCCGAATTTTCCCGGGGAATGCCGTGGTCTCAGGCAAACCTTATTCTTAGAGGGACTATACAGGACAACAGACGTTCGTCGCCGCCATCATCGGCAAGCCGTACCGCAACACCAGCCTCGGTGAGTAAACTGCTCGGTCTACTCTGCTAGTGTCTAGTGCAGCCTTCTCATATCGGGTTTCCATAGCACATCCTTCAATCTCTCGCCAAAATGACTCACGACGCCGTTTGGTTCTCTCGTCCCCGCAAGTACGGCAAGGGCTCCCGCCAGTGGTGAGTTTCCATCGGCTTTGGATATGTGAGACGCGGTATCCTGAGAGATCGTGATACGTGAAGCCGTCACTGCGCGCACCAGGCTGGTCTCATCCGCAAGTATGGCCTTGACCTCTGCCGCCAATGCTTCCGCGAGAAGGCTGCCGCCATCGGGTTCCAGAAGGTACGTGCACTGTACCCTGCAGTTGGGGATTGTCACTTACTGGTCGCTGTTGTTTTTGCAGACCCGATGAGCGTGCAGTGATACCGCCTTCGTCTCGTGTCCATTGCATCGCATTTCCGTCAGGTTTCTCCCCTCCCTCTGCTAAAACCGCGCACCACCTTGTATGCATCGTTATGATATGCTGAGCAAGCGCTGCTCCCCATGCTTCTTGGTCCTCGGAGTCGCAAGTGTGATCTAGCCGGATGTCATTGCGCTGGTGAGGGTCAAGTACCTCAGAGCTGGCGAGCCTGTTCAGTGGAAGCGAGTCCTAGCACACCGAACACGCAGTAACATCAATGCAGAAACACAGCATGGCTTGCATTCCGTGATGTGCGATATTATAACATGTGTTGTGTCTATATGCTCGAGCGGGGGCCGATAGTTCTCCATGATACAACCTCTATAGGGTGAAAATTCCAAGATCCTTCCCATTAGATACAGCAGTGTACGTTGTGATTGATCGTGTATGTCGTTACGAGAGCACTTCGTCTGGGGGATGGAGGCGGGATCATGACTTCTCTTGGTATATCTTGACGCTCTTCACCTCCCAGTCTAGCGAGATGTCAGCATATGCAGACAATCGCATGAGAAGATGTGGACTCACAGGCATCCGCGAAGCCATCACCGTGGTTGGCAACGTACTCCGCACAGGTCGACACGCCGGTCATCGCCGCGCAGCTCTCCGACTGCCCAGTACCACTGGTCGACGTCCACGCGTTGCCGGCCCACTGGCCGCAGAGCGTGGTGTCGAAGATCGCCTGGTGGTCGTAGAAGAACGTGGTCATGTTGCAGTTCGTGCTCGGCCAGAACGAGAGAGGCGTGCCCCAGCCCGAGGGCTGCGGCGCGCTGCTCGCGATGTCCGACGGGATGGACGAGCGGGGGAAGAACCACACTTTGATGCCGTCGTCGTTCCAGAGCACTGCGCACCAGGTCAGCGGGCTCCTCCATGCAGAGCGGAGGCGTTATACGCACTGGCATAGACCCCGCCACCGACGTTGTTGAAGCCGACGCCGTACGAGCTCGTGTCACTGGACTGCACGCCGCAGCCGGCATCGCCGGTCTCCTCAGCCGCACAGTTCGTTCCTCCGACGACGGTGCCAGAAATGCCGAGCGTCTTGCTGTCCCCGGAGGGGAGACTGCATCCGGCAGCGGTGTGGATGGATGCCTGGTTGATAGTGAGCGCGTTCACGCCCTCCATGATGTCGATCTCGCCGCCGTTCGGCCAATTGGGACCTGGCGTCATGACTGTTAGTGCGGGGGGAAAGGAAGATGAAGGCCGACGTACCGTCCGTCCAGAAAGCCGGCCAGGTGCCACAACCAGTAGGCGCGTGCACGGCGTCCATTACGACAAGGCCTTGTGTGAACGTGTAGTCTGTGGTTATACGCACGCTGTTGCGGTTCCCGGATACAGTCTGCGTAGTGTCCACGCGCATATACGCGTTGCCTGCGCTGTTGATGCCCGTCAAGTTGTCGGACGCCTACAGGCATTCGGTCAGTGTGGCGTCCCACATTCGACAAACATCGAGACGCACAGCAGTACCACTGTCGATATATTGCACGTTGCCATCAGTCGGGTCAGGCTGGGTGAAGAACGTCCAGCCGTTGAAGAATGAGCTACCCTCCTACTTAGAAGTCAGTCTAAGGCCAGCTGTGCTCAAGTAGCACACGCACGTAGTTCTGCTGCAGCTTGTAGGGCGATGACGACGCCGTACTCGAGCCTTTGGGAGCCGATGCAGTGGACGTCCCCGATGCCTTCGCGCCACTACTCCCCGAGCCTCCGGAGGATCCAGAGTCTGACGACCCGCTGCCTCCAAGTAGTCCGCCTCCGTTGACACAGTACACGCTCTGTGAGCTATAGTCCTGAGAGATGAGGATGGGAGATAGGGCACGGCGCAGGTCGCGAGCCAGATTGGAGCTGCGCTTTACCGCGTGCCGGTGCGCAGAGTTGATGGTGCGGAGGACATGTTCCGAGCTGCGGGAGAAGATACTGGCGTCCGAAGGGGCGGCGCTGGCGAGCAGGAAGAGGAGGAGAGGGACGCGCAAGTACATGGTGGTGGTCGCGGTAAGAGATTGGGATAGAGAGAGGCTCGCAAGGCCGAGAGTGAAAAGTGCCGACGAGGCGCAGCCTTGTGGCGGGAGTGGGAGAGAAGTGGAAGTGGGAGCGGGAAAAGGACCGGAAGAGCGAGTCGATCGCGGGCAAGGGGGTTGGCCACGAATCACACAGGGCTGAGCTTATCAACGGTCGAGGACAAGAAGTAGAGCCCTAACCGCGGTCGTTGTTGAGGATCCCGCGAGGCGGAAGGAAGTGCACAGTCCGCCGTCGGCCAATCAGAGCGGCATGCGGCACCACGAACACGAGGCAGCCAGCCCATTGTCCCTTGTTTTGTTCCCCATCGTTCGTCGCTTTGCTTGTGTCTCTGGGTGCCAAACATGGGGGCCGTTCTGCGATGCCGGCCACATTCAAGGTGGAGAGCTCTGTAACGCCACCAGCAGGCCCGCGCACCGATCGTGTGTCCAGCGACTGCACCGTCGTTGCCCTGCGCGTCTCACAACACGACTGATCCTTCATGGCTACGCTCACATCCCCGGACATCCACCGCAGCAGTTACAGTGCCAGATATTCTGTGGTGCTTTATGTGCCTCTTATCTCGCCCCGTATTTTGGGTTGTTCATCGTCGTAGCAGGAGCGCCAGTTGGATATGTTTACTCTGCGCCTCGCGGACCACAACATCCCTTGCATCCCACAGGTCCGCACCTTGTACAGCTCCTTGACTCACCTCCGCTTGTCCAGTTCACCTTGGGATTCAAATTCTCGTCCGCGCGCCATTCCGTCCCCCGGAGGGTGGGGAACAGGTCAACAGCACCCCCGCGAGTATGAACATTTCGGAGTCTATGGAGCTCTCAGCCGGGCGACGCGTTCGCGGAGAATGTCGCTCCGTTCGTCCTCTAGCCCTCGCGAAACGGCTTCACATCCTGAAAGGGGTGAGTGTATTGAATCATCTTCTAACATATACTAGGGATAAAGTGTGAATTGTGCCTATGCCCGCTCAAGGAGCGTATTGAGCGTCCTTGCCCTCTTGACGCTCCAACAGATGGACTTCGCTCGACATCGGGTCGGAGGATTCCCTCTTCGTACGTATGCATGTGATTGGGCTACGGGTGGTCCAGGTGAGCATTCTGTCGATGTTAGCCCAGTGGTCACTCGGCTACGGCTCTGCCAGTGCCTAAGCCCAACCGCTCTATGCTTCAATTGACTTCAAGGACTACGCCAGACGCGCGGCTTCATATTCAGAAAATTGCGTCCTCAATCCACATATAAGGTCGCTCAACAACAGGGGAGAGCCCTATCACATCCCAGCACCAGCTCGCCATGAAGTTCTTCGCATTCGCCCCCCTGCTCGCATTTGCCGCGGTCGTACAGGCATCATGCCCTTCGGCGATGCCTCTGTCACTCTGTTGTCAGAGCCTTGAACCCTTCAGTGACAACGAGTACGTCTGGGAGAATGTGTGTGGCATCACTGTGCCCGACACCAGTCTCTTGACTGCTTCCGGATGTGAAGTCTCTACGACATGGTGAGGCACCCTATATCCCCGACTGTCCGTCTTAATGTCTCTCTAACTCGTTTGACCAACAGCGAAACCGAGGATACGTATGCAGCGTGCTGCGAAGAGTACCTCAGTGAGTGTTACGACTTGCGTGCCGACTTCTCGGTTTGTGTATGCCAACATACTGCGCAGGTTGCCCAAGCGGTAGCACCGATGGTGCCATCGGCTACAACTGCACGGGTTACGCCGTGGAGAACTCTGAAGATAGCATCGTAGTACGGTAAGTGTTGGAGTTGTCTCTGCTTGGCCGACATGCGTATTGACCACGTTGTTAAGTCTCCACTGAGCGAGGAGCGAGGATAGCTTGCGCTGGTCTAGGTGTTGATCGTATATCGGATTCTGTTGCGGCGTGCTAGATAACGCACGCGAAGAACACAGGCCCTGTGAAGCAATAGCGATGTCCTTCCAACTACTGCATTCATGTCCTGTCCACGGGATCTACGTACCAAGGCACGTGTGTGTTTGGACGCTGGGGTGCATATCGACGACTTTACCGCCTGCGAGAGGGCTTGGTTCGACATCGGATCGGAGGGCGATGGGTATGGCCGCGTTCGCATTCATCGGAATCACGGCGAGACTAGGCACGCTGTCACAGTCAACACAGTAGGGATTCGCCCAGGATCGCCCAGTCTACTTAGACCTGATCGTCAATCCGTCGTCGTGACTTATTGGCCCGGCGAGACGCGCCTCAGCGTGCCTTGACCTGACCTCTTACGCCTAACCGCATCCATAGCCCACAGGTATTCTTCTTCTCGAGGTCATATAAACACGGGCGAGTGGGAGTGAGGGCCGACATACCAAACCCTAGTCGACAAGATGCAGT